GGGTCAGGGGTAGTGGGGCGGGAGAAGAACGATGGGAGGGGGAGGTGGCGGGAGGACAAGAGAGGGGGGAGGATGGAAGGAGTGGGAGAGGTGAGGAGGGGGACGGAGGAGTGGAGGGGAGAAGACCGATGGGAGGGGGAGGTGTGGTGGAGGAAGAGAGGGAGGGAGGAATGGGAAAGGAGTGGCAGAAGGAGTGGGGAAGAAAAGGGAGGGGAAGAAAGAGTGGGCGGGGTGAGGAGGGGACGGCGGGCAAGGCGAGAGGAAGACGAGGGGGAGGGAGGATGGAAGGAGTGGGTCGGCGAGAGATGCGAGCAGGGGTGGGAAAGGAAGAGATGGAAGGGAGGGAAAGAAGGATAGGGAGAAGGAGTACGGGAAAGAATGTAAGGGGAGAGGGAAAGAGAGAGGCATAGGTAGGAGGAGGGGAGGAGAGGGAAGAGAAAGGAGAAGGGGAGAAAAAATGGGGAAAGGCGAAAGGAGGGAGAGGGGGATAGAGAATGAATGAGGGAGAAAGAGGAGGTAAGAAGGAGAGTATAGGAAGAGAAGAAAAGAGAGGGGGGAAAAGTGGATGAAGGAGAAAGAGAGAAGGAGAAATGAGAGAGAGGGAAGGGAGAAGAAGGAGAGAAGGATATGGAGATAAATGACAGGGAGATGGATAAAGGGAGGTAGCGCTGGAAGGGAGGGAGGAGCCGGGAAATGGAAACAAAGATTAAAATACACGAGGGAAATCAAAAAGAAAATTGATGAAAAGGTTTATAGATAGACAAATAGATGGATACATAGATAGATAGACAGAGAGAGAGAGATAAATAGATGAATAGATAGACAGATAGAAAGAGAGACAAATAGATGGATAGATAGATAGAGAGAGAGATACGTAGATGGATAGATAGATAGATAGAGAGAGATAAATAGAGGAGAGAAATCAAAGCAAGCAAGAAAGAGAGAGAGAGTGAGAGAGAGAGAGAGAAGAGAGAGAGGGAGAGAGAGAGAGAGAAGGAGGAGAGAGAGAGAGAGAGGAGAGAGAGTGAGAGTGGAGAGAAGAGAGAGAGAGAGAGAGAGAGAGAGGAGAGAGAGAGAGAGAGAGAGAGAGAGAGAGAGAGAGAGAGAGAAGAGAGAGGAGAGAGAGAGGAGAGCGAGAGAGCGATGAGAGACGAGAGGAAAGAAGAGAAAGAAGAAAGCCAAAAATAAATGCATCAAAAAAGCAGAAATACAAAAACAAAGGGAAAAAAGCAAAAGAGAAAATGAAAAAATAAAGACAAGAGAAAGAGATCGAAAGAAAAGTTAAGCTTATCACTATCTTGTCCCTTTCGTGTTGCCACTGGCAGCCTATGACAGACTGTGGCACTCTAGAGGTCGTCTTATATATCAGCGTCAATTGATTACTGGGCCTGAACTTTCTTAATCTTTGCCCAGAAAGTCATTAAATGTTGATTTTGTGAGGGAGGGAGAGAGGGAGGAGGTAGGGGTGAGGAGGGAGGGAGGGAGGGGGAGGGAGAGAGAGGGAGGGAAGGAGGGTAGTGGAGAGGGGGAGAGGGAGGGAGGAAGGAGGGTAGGAGGTGAGGAGAGTAGAAGGAAAAGGGAGGGAGGAAGGAGGGTTTAGGTGAAGAGAGAGAGAGAGAGAGAGAGGAGAGAGAGAGAGAGAGAGAGAAGAGAGAGAGAGAGAGAGAGAGAGAGAGAGAGAGAGAGAGAGAGAGAGAGAGAGAGAGAAATTAAAGTAGAAAGAAAAAAACAACAGAAATAAAAAAATAAAAAAAAACAAAGAGAAAAAGTGAAAGAAAGAATATAAAAAAGAGAGAGAGAAAGAAAAAAAAAAAAGCAAAGATAGAGACAGGAAGCGAAACTGATTCCACATCTGCAAATATCCAATCTTGACCTTTAAGATTCCAGTCCCTGAGTCGTCGCTTATCACTGTCTTGGCCCTTTGGTTTTACCATTGGCTCCCGGTGACACACTGTGGCACTCTGGAGGTCATCTGTTGTATCAGTGGCAGTTGATTACCAGGATTGAACTTTCTTGAAGTTTACCCAGAAAGTAATTAAATGTTGATGGTAGGGAGAGGGAGAGAGGGAGGGAAGGTAGGGAGAGGGAGAGGGGAGGGAGGGAAGGAGGAGGAGAGGGGAGGAGGGGGTAGGAGGGAGAGGGAGGAGGGGAGGGAGGAGGGAAGGAGAGGGTGGAAGGTAGGGAGGGAGGGAAGGAGGAGGTAGGAGGGAAGGAGGAGAGGAGGAAGGAGGGAAAGGAGAGGAGAGAGGGAAGGAGAGGGAGGAGGGAAGATAGGGAGGGGAGGAAGGGAGGGAGAGGGAAAGAAGGAGAAGAGGGAGGGAGAAATAGAGGAAGAAAGAGATTGAAGGGGAGGGGTGAAGAGGGGGGGGGCAGAGGCACACGCCCAGCTACTTACACAATTAAGGCTTACCGACCCCTCTCTCCCATTCTCTCACGCTAATGATAATGAGACACTGTAAGTGAAAGAGGAGAGAGGAGAGGATGAGATGAGAGAGATAGATAGATAGATATAGATAGATAGATAGATAGATAGATAGATAGAGAGAGAGAGAGAGAGAGAGAGAGAGAGAGAGAGAGAGAGAGAGAGAGAGAGAAGAGAAAGTGTGAAAGAGAGAGAAAGAGAAAGAGAAAGAGAGAGAAGAGAAACCGACACTCGACATACAAAACAACAAACATCAACAAAACAGACAAAACAGACAGACACATAGCGAAGAGGGAAGAGGAAGGGAACCCCGTGTCCCCCGCCCACTCATTCACAAAATTAACGCTTATCGGTCCACTGAAACCCGCCTCCGAGCTCATTCACCCCCCAAGCGGTTTCTCGCGGCCCTTCTGCGGAACGCTCGCCGTACCGTGTCCCCGGGGAAGGCGGCGGCGGCGGGGAAGGCGGCGGGGAAGGCGGCGAGGAAGGCCGGCGGGGAAGCGGCGACGGCGGCGATGGTGGCCTCACGCAGAAAGGCCTGCAGTCGCTCGCCCTTTCCTTATGGGACTCGGTGTGGTGTTAATAGTGTTGTTAGGACTCTTCTTTTCTTACAGTTATTTGTGTTGTTCTTTTTATTGTCATCATCATCATGATTATTGTTAATCATATATATTATATATATATATATATATATAATATATATTATATTATATATATATATATATATATATATATATATATATATATACATATATATATATACACACACGCATATTATATACATATATATATGCATATATATAAATGTGTGTGAGTATATGCATGTGTGTGTGTGTGTGTGTGTGTGTGTGTGTGTGTGTGTATATATGTACATGTATATCTATATCTATCTATCTGTCTATTCATCAATCATCTATCTATCTATATATATATATATATATCCCCCCGCCCCACAGGTCAACCAGCTGACCCTCCCCTCTGGCACCGTCCTCAAGGAGAGTGCCTGGTGCGCCGTGCCCTTCCACGACGTCTCCTGCAACTGGGCGTGGCTGATGTGGGCGTCGAGTGTCGGGGCTTTCATCCTACCCATGGGCGTCCTGGTCACACTCTACTGCAAGATAGGTAAGGGATGATAAGGAGGCAAGGAGGAGGAGGAAGGAGGAGAGGATAAGGGGTGGATAGAGGTAGGAGGAGGAAAGAGGATAAAGAGGTGATAGGAGGGAGGAGGGGTAGGATAAAGAGGAGATAGGAGGGAGGAGGGAGGAGGAGAGGAGGAGAGGAGGGATAAAGAGGTGATAGGAGAGAGGAGGGGGGGTAAAAGAGAGAGAGATAGGAGGGGGAGGGAGGAGGATAAGGGATGGGGATAGGAGAGGGAAAAGGAGGAGGAATAAGAGAATGATAGGAGGCAGAGGAGGAGGAGGATAAAGGGGAGATAGGAGGAGGGGAGGGAGGAGGGAAGGTAAGGGGTGATACGAAAAGGGAGATAAAGGGGTGATAGAAGGCAGGAGGAGGAGGATAAAGCGAAGGGTGGTTATAGATAGGTATGGATAAAGAGAAGAAAGGAAGAGAGGAAGAAGAAAGGTTTGGAGAAAGAGGAGGAGAGAAAAGAGAAGAAAGGAAGGGAGGAGAGACAAACAGAAAAAAAGAAAAGGTTTGGAGAAAGAGGAAGAGAGAAGAGGGGTATGCGTGGATTAGTGGAAAGTGAAGAAGAGGAGATGGAGAAAGGGAAGGAGGGAGGAGGGATAAACAGGAAGAAGAAAGGTATGGAGAAAGAAGAGGAAATAAGAAAAGTGTGCGTGGGTATGAATAGTGGAAAGGGAAGAAGAGAGAATGGAGAGAAGGAAGGAGAAAAGAGAAAGACACGGAGGAAGGAGTGGGGATAGAGAAAGGGAAGGAGGAAGAAGGGAAAGAGCGGAGAGAAGTGAAGCGAATAAATAGACACAGATAAATGGAGGGAAAGAAGAGGGAAACAAAAACAAACATGAAGGACAGGTTACATAGACGGTGGAGGAGAGAAGAAGGGAATAACAGAAGGGAATGGACAGGGAGAAAATGAGCAAGAAGTAATAAAGTAAATAAGTAAGCAAGAAAAGGATTGAGTAAGTAAGTAAGTAAGGATAGAGGCTCCGTTGAGAGAAGAATCCCTCACTTAACTCCATTTCATTTCAACAATTTATCTTTTTATATCCTTATTTACCTTTATATTTATTTGTTTATTTGTTTACTTATCAAATGATTAATAAATTTATTTACACCTTTATCCATTAACATATCAATCTGTTTATTTATTTATCTCTTTATCTACTTATCTCTTTATCTTTATCATTCTATGTGAAATACATAATCCAATATACGCTAATATTATTTACATCAAACTAACTAAAGTCTTCAGTAACTTAGTCAAACGTCTCAGATTTTGACTTAAAGGGTATCTATCTTTCTGTCATTCTGAAAAAAAGGGTATTTTATTTTATTTTCCCATTTTTTAAGACTAAAACGATACTTGATATGTAGAAGATTAATACCCTGTAAATGCTTATGGTTGGAATTTTAGAAGGAAAGAAAAAAGGAAAATGTTGGAAAGATTTAAAAAAAAAAACGAGAGAAGAAGAAGAAGAAAAGAAACAGAAGCATTGAAAAAACGAAAATGAAGAATATGAGGAAGAAAAGGAAACAGAAGCACTAAAAAAACGAAAAAGAAGAAGAAAAAGAAGAAAAGAAACAGAATCATAAAAAAATACACGAAAAAAAGAAGAGAAGAGAAAAAAAAAAGACCAGAAACAGAAACATAAAAAAAACAAACAAGAAAAAAGGCAGAAAAAACAAAAAAGTAAGAAAAACGAAACAAGAAGAAAAAAAAGAAGAAACAAAAATTTTACATTCCCCCTTAAAATCCCCAAGGAGCCGCACCTGATAAGAAATAGACAGATGAAAAGCTCGTGATGAATGAAGCTCCGAAGCCACACCTTTTGGCTTGGGCTTCCACTTAGCGTCTTCTGGCCCCCGTCAGAGAGGGAAAACAAAATCGATCTTGACGGGAAGCGACAGGTTTGACAGGGAGGTTGTGGTGGGGGTGGGGGGTGGAGGTGGGGGGGAGGGGAGGGGGTGAAGTAAAGGCAAGAGGAGAGGGGAAATATCTGTTGGCAAATGGGTGAATTGGGAGACGGATATGCATGTGGATTATAATGTTATATATGTATATATATATATATATAAGTATATAGTATATATATATATATATATATATATAATCGTAATAATGTGTGTATTGTGTTGTCTAGTGTTGTGTGTGTGTGTGTGTGGTGATCATAATAGTTCATAGTAATAAATTATCTATATATATTATATATTATTATATATTACTATGTCTAGCAGTTTATTACACACACAACACACACACAACACTACCACACAACACACACACACACGCACACACACACACCACACACACACACATATATATATATATATATATATAATATATATATATATATATATATACATACTACATATATATATATATATATATATTATAATATATAATATATATTATATATTATATATAATATACGTATATGTACTTGTTATATACATCTAACGCATTGATGTTGATTACGCATACCAGCGCTCCAACTCACTCACAGACATACACACGACGAACGAACTACACACACACCACACACCACACGCACGCACACACACAACACACACACAACAACCCCCCCCACACACACAACAACCCCGCCAACACACACACAACCCCCCACCCCGCCCCACCCCACACACAATCAAACAAATCAACTATTCCTTGAACTAACGCTTCACTCTCTCTCCACAGGAATAGTCCTCTCCATCGACCCGCCTTCTCGAACTCCGTCAGCTGGCAATGGGGCGATGCACACACGCAGGCTGGGTATTCGCATGTTGGGTAAGTGACTTGTGATAAGTGGCTCGCGGTTCGGGAGAGTTTGTGTGGGTGTGTGGTGTGGGGGGGTGGTGGTGTGTGTGTGTGTGTGTGTGTGTGTGTGTGTGTGTGTTGTGTGTGTGTGTGGTGTGTGTGTGTGTGTGTGTGTGTGTGGTGTGTGTGTACTGGAGAGGAGAGGCGGAGGGGAGAGAGAGAGGAGTGAGGGAGATAGAGGAGAGAGTGGAGGAACGGAGAGAGAGAGAGGGAGAGAGTGAGATGGAAGATAGAGAGGGAGTGAGGGAGAGAGAGAGGGAGAGAGGGAGAACGGAGGGAGAGGAGAGATGTTAGAGAGGAGGAGGGGAAGGAGAGGGAGAGACGGAGGAGAGAGAGGAGAGATGAGGCAGGGGAGAAGAGAGGTAAAAGGGAGGTGGGAGAGAGAGAGAGAGAAGAGAGAGAGAGAGAGAGAGGAGATAAAATATTTGTGTCAACTATAAATAATAAATAAAAGAAATAAAATAACCGACTAACACGTGTTGTTTGCGTCGGAAACATGCTCACATATTTGAGCTTGAAAAAAACTGAACCAAGTCCAACTTCTTCAGGTATTTTTCAGGTGATAAATGACATAAAAATACAAAAGAAGGGGCTTTGCTGTCAGAGGAGAATGTGTCTGTGAGAGACTATAGAGAGAGAAGGTGAGAGGCAACGTAAGAGGAAAAAAGAGAAAGAATGAGAGAGTTAGAGACATAGAGAGTTTACGCGACAGAGTGAGAGACATAGAGAGTGTTAAGTGACAGACTAAGAGAGACTGAAAGACAGACAAGGAAAAAGAGGATAGGTCCAACGAGAGAGAAAGAAACAAAAAACAACAGATACAACACAAGAGACAAAAAGCAGATATAACAGATACAACGGATAAAGAGACAGATACAACGAAAGAGAGACAAAAACATAGACGAAGAGAGACAGAAACAAAAAGACAAGGAGAAACAGACACGGGACCAGAGTGGGAGGAGAGAAAGGACGAAACATTTCTGGAGTGTCGCAAGCGAATCGAAAATGACAAGTGAATTCCTAAACCAGGGTCAAGTTGCACTGCAAATTGCCTTGCAGTGTTCCCAGTGTATGCCGTTGTTAGTGACTAAGTCTCGTGGGGGGACAAGGAGATGAATAAATGAGGAATAAGAAAAAGAGAACGAGAAATGCGAGTGAGGGAAGAAGGAAGGTGAACGAAGCATTGGGAGAAAGAAAGAGAGAATGGAAAAAGATAGAAAAGAAAACGGGCATAACGAAAAGAAAACGAGGTAGCTAGAAGGAAGTAAAGAAACCAGGTATTTGGCAATTTAAAATGAGAACTTTCTGTGCAAACAATGCATGCACTTGCCTACGTTATTTGTCTTCCGGATCAAGTCACACGCTCTCCTTCTGTTGCGAAAGGAAAGAGAGAAAATAAGGGTAAATATATCCACAAGGAAAGATAAATTGCTAGGGAAACCTTTTTCGTGAGTGATTCATCTTGTCCCGTAAAAGTATTTGGTTTCATTCATTCCTTTGGCGATAGATGTCGTAATGGATGATGTTTGGTTCAAAGGAGAGAGAGAGAGAGAGAGAGAGAGGAGAGAGAGAGAGAGAGAGAGAGAGAGAGAGAGAGAGAGTAGAGAGAGAGAGAGAGAGAGTAGAGAGAGAGAGAGAGAGAGAGAGAGAGAGAGAGAGAGACGGAGGCAGACATACAGATCTAGAGAGATGCAGACAGACAGACAAAGAGAGAGAGACTCCTTGGTCTAGTGAGACAGTGCAGATGAATTATTGCTATCGTGAATAGGAGTCTGTATCACTCATAGTTGGTATAATGAAACAGACAGACAGACAAACAGAGACTAAGAATGAGGCAGAGACATAGACATAGAACAGAGAATCAGAAAAGCGAGAGAAAACAAAAACAAATGAAATATCAGGAATTCACCCACAACACAACACACACACACACACACACACACACACAGCACACACACACACACACACACACTTTCTCTCTCTCTCTCTCTTTCACAACACACACACCCACACCCACCACACAAACACACCAACTCTCTCTCTCACACACACACAAACACCCCCAACCCCCAAAACACAACCAAACACAAACACACCTACACAAAAATAACCACACATAACCTCCAACCCCCTTAAAAAGAACCCGACCAAAAGCACACACTCGCCAGCCCACACTCTCCCACAGTAGCCGTCGTGGTGGTCTTCTTCCTGTGTTGGGCGCCGTTCCACGCCCAGAGGCTCATGTTCGTCATCGTCACCAGCTACGGGGAGTGGACGCCCCACCTCAGGACTGTCAACGCGAATCTCTACTACTTCACAGGTCAGTTGAGTGGGAGGATTCGGGTGATTGGGAGGAATCGGGTGATGGGATTGGATTGGAAGGATTCGGGTGAATTAGGGATTGGGTTGATTTTGGTGATTGGGTTTTGATTGGTGGTTGGGTTGATTGGTGATTGGGTTGATTGGTGATTGGGTTGATTGGTGATTGGTTGATTTGGGTGATTTGGGGTTGATTGTGATTTGGGTTGGTTTGATTAGCCGCTGGTGAGGGTTTGATCTAGCGAATCTCTACTACTTCGCAGGTCCAGTGGTTGAGTGTGGAGGATTCGGGTGATTAGGGATTGGGTTGTTCGAAGGGACTGGGTTGTTTATTTAGGGATTAGGTTGTTTTCGTTAGCCACTGGTGGAGGGTTTTGATTAGGGATTGGGTTGGTTTTAGGGGATTGGTTGTTCGATTAGTGATTGGGGTTGATGGGTTTGATAAGATTGTACAGGGTAATGATTAGGAAATGGTTGATTAGCGATTGGGTTGCAATCAGCATTGGTTCATTAGCCACTGGGTGAGGGTTCGATTAGGGATTGGGTTGGTTTAGCGATTCGGTGATGGTTTGATAAGATTGTTCAGGGAAATGATTAGGAATCCTTGTGTTGGTGAATCATTAAAAAAAAAGAACAAAAAATATCTTTCTTTTTTAGATAATGCTTTTGTGAAAATGGTTTTACGTGTTGATTTTTTTTTATGTGTTGTTAGAAATGTTTAATAAGACCTTAATTATTATTTCTTTCGTGGCTTTTAATATCTTAATGAGCGTTTTAATGTCCATTTCCGAAAGACTTGGGGAGGGGGAACAGAGGGAGAATAGGAGAGAGAGTGAATGAGAGGAAGAGGGAAGGAGGAAGGGAGGGAGGAAGTATAGAAGGGAAAGAGGGAGAGAGAAGGAGGGGGGAGGGAGGAATTGTAGAAGAGAGGGAGGGAGAAGGGGAGGTGAGAGAGAGAGAGAGAGTGAGAGAGAAGAGAGAAAGAGAGAGCGAGAGAGAGGGAGAGGGAGAGAGAGAGAGAGAGAGAGAGAGAGAGAGAGAGATTCAGAGAGAGAGAGAGCGACAGTCAGAGAGGGAGAGAGAGAAAGAGAGAGAAAGAGAGAGAGAGAGAGAAAGAAAGAGAGTCAGAGAGAGAGAAAGAAAAAAGATAGAGCCGTCAACACCCTCACCTACACCTTCCCCCCCTCCCTCCCCCAGGCCTCTGCTACTACCTGAACTCCGCCGTGAACCCCGTCCTCTACTCCATCATGTCAGTTCGCTTCCGCATAGCCTTCCGCCGCTCTCTCTGCGGGGGCAAGGAG